GAGAAGTTACAAATCATTTAGAGCAAGGTAACAGATTTGCCTGTAAGAGCTTGTAGAAATGACACAAAGCATGCTGAAAAATATTCCAAATAAGCTACTTGATCACAAAGCAGTGCTATGCAGATGCCACAGTGCTTCTACCCCACGTTTCACCAAGTAGTTTTCAACCCCATTTTTAAAGCCATCTCCACTGTAACCAGTCATATAAGAGTCAATTTTTGTTTGATTAATTTCCATTAACTATGAAAAGCAAAGTCCTAAAGGAATCAGCCCTTGCTAGTAACTTAGGCAACAAATCTCCCTGCCTCTTTAGTCTTTTCCTGGAAACCCAGCAACAGCAAAGCTTAAACCAGTCACAACTGTTCTGTGTTAATGACTGCAGTCCTTTGGCAAAGATTTCATCCTGAAAAACCCGCCCTCCAGCCACACTCAGGTGACATAAAGCACTTGCAAGGTTTAGATTACAGAAAAGTCACGGTGAGCACAGTGAAATGCACAGATTTGCTGGAGCAGAACACTGAGAAATGAGGCAGCCAGGGGCTGACGTTTTCCCTGCCCCCCGTAAGTAAATTTTGACCCCCTTCCCTCTCGGAAAATCACGATGAGTTGTACCTAGTTCTGCCACAGCCGCTGCACAGGCTGACAGAGCAAATTTGCTGGCTCGGGGCCACCTCTGTGGAAGAGGTAAGGTCTTCTCTTCTTCTGCAGGTGACATCTAGCATCTCACATGAACCAAGGCTCACCAGCCGCCCAGGGTCTGTCTGGAGCAGAGCAGACCCTAGCACAGCTCAGTTCTGGGTCGTTTAGAAGATAAGTTGCTGAAGGTCATGTTTCTCCAGCGCCAGTACCAGGAACTGCAGCAGCCCTGGTGGCTCCTGCAGAGCTGGAAGGTCCTTCTGCAGTGACAAGAGAATCCTGCTCAACAGGCTCCTGGGAAATGTAGTCTGTCCCCGACGCTGCCCTGCGCCAGGAAACCGGCAGTGCAGGTACAGTCACACACACAGTTTTGTCCATTATCATCTGTATTAAAAAGTGTAATCATTAACGAGAGCTCGAGATTACAAGCACATGTGTGGGGGGTGTTTGTTTTACAAGGTGCTGTCGTTGACAGCAGCGCCTCGGGAGCCCCAAACTGCATTCCCATGTCAAACAGCTGCACAGGCATCCATAAGGGATGAAGTGATACAGATCTGGTTCAATAAGAACTGCACTGGCAGCAGTGCCGAGCTGAGGTGATGGAGTGCTCTCAGCAATCTGCCTCTCCTGCGGATTAGGCACGAAGCAGTGCAGTTCGGGATGACGGAAGCTGATCACTGCCCAGAGCCCCGTAAGTGAAAAGTTTAAAGCTTTTCCTGGCTGAATGCTGAAGCCCTGTTAATTGTGTGCTGGTCCTAATTTCTCTTAACATATTTAGGTCCTCATCATTAAAAAAAAAGGTATGTGCTGTTCGAGAGAGGCGTTTCATTTATCACTAAGGCTCAGCTGAATCCCTAAGTTAATCATTAGCCATTAGTCAGTAATCCTCATGCTGAGGATTTGGGGATTTTTTAGGTCACAGAAAATTATTCCAGACCACCTCCCCACACACTTGTCTGACTGCCTGACATTTTGGTGTGTGGTCCCCACTGCAAGGATTCAGACAAACAAAGTGAGCATTGCAGGTGAAATACTCAGCTGAAGTCCAAAGACTTTATGTTGTCATTCACCAGTAATCGGTATTAAACTGCATCCTTCTTTGGGTTAAAATTCACTAGAATTCACACAGTGATAAAGCAGGCTACTGACAAAACCCTGGTTAAAAATGGGAAGAATGCAAACACGCCTGGCTGCAGGGAAGGTACAAGTGGTTCAGAGCCTTTTTCCTGACAGTTCATGAAATCTGCTGTGGCACTTTGTGCCTCCTTCCAAAACTGTTCTCTGGGCTTGGCCACTACATATCAGCCTGCATATCATCGATTCATAATATAGGCTGGAGAGGACCTCTAGAGGTCACCTACAGTCATTGTACAATCCTCTACTCAGAGCAGGGAGAGCTTCAGAGGTACATCAGGTTGCCCAAGGTTTTTTTTGTCACCTGAAAACCTCCCAGGATGAGGATTTCACCATCATCCCTTAGCTGTGCACCTCTGGGTACAGTCTCATTCTGTTTTCTCTATAACCATGTTTTAGGGAGTGGAAAACAACAAGTAGATCTCTTCTTAAAATAAACCCCATAGCATTGCAGATGGAAAGAGCAGCTTTCCATGGTAATTTTTATTCTGAAGAAATAGGTTCTTTTTTAAATGAGACTGATTTAGAGATGGCAACAAAGAAGAATTTTCTCACAGGATTTTTGAAATGAGCCTGACTAGAGATGGATGCTTGCATGGACAGCTCTGTGACGTGTGGAGCAGAGAAAGGCCAGTGCTCATGAAAATCCATAGCTGGAGTTCATACACCCCAAATCCTGAGGGAGACAGCACCAGCAGAGAGAACCCTTCCTATTAATTTATTTCATTTTTTGAGACCGCATTTTTTGGTTTCTTTCCAAAGCCGGTTTGATCAAAGGCTACATATGCAGGGAGGGAGGGTGGACTTCAGATGGAATGGGAAACAGAGCAGCAGGGCCTGGTAGGGCTGTTCTCTCTGTGATGGAGAAAGGCAGCAAGACTGCCCAGTCCTCTCAGATGCTTCTGCAGGTGTTAGTTTACTTGGAAAGGCCACTAACCAATACCTGCCCAGGACTAGGGCCTAGTCTGAGGAAAGCTTGGTAGTGACTATTGCAATGTCATACTGGTTGTATCCTCCTCACATTAGTGCCTTGCAGTTGCATCTCATGTCCTTCATCACGTCTTGCCCCAAAAGCAGAAGCTAAACAAAAACAAACCAACAAGAAGACCAAAACAAACACAAAATCCTTTAATTTATGTCTTCACGTAGGGCTGAGGGCTTGTATTACCTGTACACATAGATCACTTTAAACTCACTACTCAGTCAGTTAATGAAAATATACTCCAATATTCCAAGGTCTTTAGCTCTCTTATCACTACATACCCATTTGTAGGAAAAGAAAGAATTTAATAGATAAACTAAACCCAGGAAATAAACATACAAAGAGCTGTGATAGCTAAACACAGAAGTGTAATAATACCACAGTTAACAGTGATTTAGCTGTTTGTTCCAGACAATTTGTGAAATGGACATCAGCATCCTACTTGACACAGTTGATATATTTGGGCTTGTTTTTCTGCAGCTATGACTGATAGGTAACATCCCAAGGTATTTCAACATGACTGTTTAATGAAGGACATAGATCTGGTTTTCACAGCTCTTGTGATCTGATGTACATCTGGTTGCTTGACTGTGGAGCAAACAGATGAAAGGCTAGAAAAGGTGAGCAGGGCTTGTTGAAGCAAGGAGTCTGGGCATAGCAAGGAGGAGGATCAGGTCCTGGGACTGAGAAGAACAAGAGATTTGGACAAAGAGCCAGAGCAAAAGAAGACAAAATCACACACACCCACCAAAAAAAAAAAAAAAAAAAAAAATCAAGCATTTGAGGCTGGAAGGGACCTGGAATCTGGCTAGTCCTAAGCCCTGCTTAAAGCAGGGTCACCTCGAGCAGGCTCTAAGGACTGTGTTCAGCTGGGTTTTGAATGTCTCCCAGGACTCCCCAGCCACTCTAGGCAACCTGTTGCAGTGCCTGACCACCATCACAATTAAAAAAAAAAATTAAGTGGATTTTTCTCTATTTGTTTATGACCACTGCCTCTTGGCCTTTCCCTGGGCACCACTACAAAGATCCTGGCTCCATCCTCTTGGCACCCTGCCTTCGTGTGTCCATACACACTGGTAAGGTCCCCTGAGCCTTCTCTTTTCCAGACTGAGCTGTCCCAGCTCTCTCGGCCTCTCATCAAATGACAGATGCTACAGCCCCTTTATGAACTTCTTGGCACTTCACTGGGCTCACTCCAGTCTTCTCACACTGGGAAGGTTAGAACTGGACCCAGCACTCCTAGTCGATCTCTCCAGCACTGAGCAGAGGATCACCTCCCTCAACCTGCTGGCAACACTCTTCCTAATGCAGTCTAGGGTACTGTTGAGTGCAAAGGCACATTTCTGCCTTGTGTTTGACATGGTGTCCACCAGGACACAAGATCTGCAAAGTTCCTTTCCAGGCAGATGCCTTCCAGGTACATGAGGTTGTTTCCACTCAGGGACAGAACTTGGCATTTCCCTTTGCTGCACTTCATGAAGTCACTTTTTTGCCCTGAAAAGTTAGACCACATGATCCTTGAGCTTCCTTCCAACCTGGTATTCTGTGGTTTTAAGATAAGTCCCTGTTTGCCCATTTTTTCAGCCTGTTGAGGTCCCTCTGAATGGCAGCACACTCATCTGGTCTATCAGTGACTCCTCGTGGTTTTATGTTCTCTTCTTGCTGAGGGTGTGTGAGGGAAGGCTATGAGACCACCTCCTAGGGGGAATGTTTTATACTTAATGAATTCTATGTGTAATTTTGGTGTGCCACTTCCACATATGCAAAGAAACTAATTTGACCTCTGTACCCTTGTCTTCTGACATTGCAGTGATATAACACAGGTGACCAGCAGGCTTTGAGTTGTCAGTTCAACCTCTTGTTTCTCAGACACTGGACACACATCTAGTCTTTATTGAGATGATCTCAGGCAGGTGAGGAACACCTTTCATAAGGTTTTTCCTTCAGATGATGCCTGCAACAGTTTCTTGCCATCTCACTTGCTGAAAGCTAAAGGTCTGTGAATCACAACCTTTCTGCTTTGTAATCTCAATATTACCAAAAAAGTAATATTTTTAACTGAAGAAAGCTCTGCATTGCTTTGCCAGTGTCCCTGGCCATGTCCCTGGCTGCCTGAGCAGCCTCTCAGCAACAGGCACAAAGTCCAAGGACTTGCCACAGCAACATCTCAGTTTTGCAAGCCGTGGAAGTTGGTCCTCATCCCAGAACAAAGCACAATTGGCTCTGCCTTTCCCAGAACAAGGGCTTGTCCGCTGGGCTGTTTGGTGCTTTGACATCTTGTCTCCATGGCAGTGCTCAGCTGGCAGGGCTGATCAGGGAGGCCTATTCATTAACTCGGAGCCCGGGCCAGCGCGGCCATGCCGGTGCCGCGGTGGACTGAGCAGCTGCTGGGGCAGGCAGCGAGCAGGCAAAATGGATCTCACTCTCCTCTTGGCAGCAGTCCTGGGGCTCCTTATTGTCAAGGCTGTTTTGTTTCAGCTGAGAAACCCGAGCTGCCCTCCTTGCATCAGGAGCTGGATCCCTTGGTTTGGAGCCGCGTTTCAGTTCGGGAAAGCTCCTCTGGAGTTTATAGAGCAAGCTAGGAACAAGGTAATGTCTGTGGCGGCATGCCTGCTCGTGGGTGTGTGCTCAGGGTGGCTGCCTTCAAGGGGAAAGGCAATGCAAAGCTTCTGCCTTAAGTTTTCTCCTTTCCTGTCACATTTTATAACATCAGGAGCATTTAGCTGGTGAAGAATCAGCTTTGTACCACTAATGTTGCTAAGTTGTGGATCTGATCCAGACACAATCTCTGTGCTGTGACTATCCTGCTTGGACCTCTGCTGGTTTGCTTTTGCAGTCTGGCTGCATGTTAATCTTGGTTTCAGATAATGTGGAAAGCTCTGTGCCAAGCGCGGGGACCAGGAAACTAATTATTTGCATGCCTAAAGTTAGGTGAGATTTTTGAGTACCAGCTGGTGTCCCTTAGCATTCAAGAGAGACACAGACATGCTTGGAAGGCAACGTTTTCCGTCCTAAAAAACTTACCAAACACGAGTGTGAAGATTTCCCCCCTGGACATAACTTTCTTTCTCTGTGTCTGTTGGATAAAGACCAAATGGTTAATTTAGGTTAGATGCCTAATTTCTAGGTAGCTAATAATAACTGATATAAAAAAACAGTTTCCCACTTTCATTCAGGGATGATATCACCTGCTACTGCAATGTAGTCAAGCCTCGAGTGTTCCATACTGAAGGATCACACAGCCCACTACTTGCAAAAACTGGCTAAAAATGAAACCTCTGTAACATCCTGAAATTTAAAAAAAAAAAAAACCAAAACAAACAAAAACAAACAAACAAACAAAAAACCGAACAAAAAAACAAACAAGAAAACCAACCAAACAAAAAACCCCCAATGCATACATAAATATTGGATGTTTAAGATTTGCTTTTTCATTTTCAACTGTTAGATTTCATGTTTGTAAGTGCATCTTTACAGTCATTATTGTTATAAACTCATGATGTTAAATGAAAGCAGAGGTTTAAGTATAATTTTTGAGAACATCAGGTGCTGTCAGTCTTGTATTACAGCACATTGGGTTCACCATGGGGTAAGATCATGTGTATGATCTGGAGTTCTTTGGCTTCCTTGTGCTTAATAGGCCAGTTTTAACCTTATATTACTCTGTATTTCCTGTATCTTTCATCTATGCACACCATAATCATTTATTTATTCATTCATCATAGGGCAGAAATGTAGGACTGGAAGAAAACTCATTCCAGCCTGTTCTCCTCCTATTTCAGAGACCATATAATCCTTTAAATAAACTGATCAAGCCTCACTTATATAATCCAGTCATAACATTCTTTTACTTTTCTGATATGAGGCTGTTAGAGAACTTCCCCACCCTGTTCTGTTGCAAACACGTCCTGGTGGCAGCCAAATTAAAGCAGCCTGCCAATCTGTCCTTTCCGGTGCAGTCCTTCTGGGGACAGCTGTTTCACCATGACTTAAACTTCCTTTAGTTGCCTTTTTTTCCCAAGAAGCTTTTAGCAAAATCTCTTGGATGAAATTTTAAAACAAACCTGGCAGAAGAGTCTTTTTTGGGGGCTCATTCACAGACTGAATGAGCAAAGCATTTACATGTTTGTGTTGATGTACAAATGCACACTTAGAGGCTCTGGGTTCGTTAATTTAGGTGTTTGTTTGCCTGGAGACCCTATAGGCTGCTAGTGGTGCTGTGGCAGCTGCTGACACATCTGAGCACACCAAAAACACCTGATGGACTTTGTTAACCCCAGGTTTTTTTGGGATAGAAACTAGAACAAGAAACATTTTCCGTGGGAGAAAACTCTAGATAAGGCAAAGAAGAGGGAAAAGGCTTTCTTACATCTCTCCCCTTTGTTTTTGTGTTTGCAGATAGGACCTTTCCTTTGACTTTGTTTTTAGTCCAGCAAATCAGCATCCTTGTGACCTCTCCCTGAGGTGCCCCTGGGCCAAGAGGGATGTCTCCATCCACACCCCCCCTACAAGGTTGGCTGCAGCAGCAGCATCTGACAGTCCCCCTGTCCCTGAGGAGGGCTGCTTTTTTGTTTTCCCCTTCCTCTCCTTAAACACTCCAGGCACTGCAGAGTCTCCCTCCCTTCCTACCTCCCATGCTGGCAGGCTGTGCTGAGGCCAGGAAAAATAAGCCTTTTCCTGCCTGCTCCCTTTTAAAGGAGTAGGCACTCTAGCAGAGTACAGCCAAACAAAACATGTGCTGCTGCCAAAGGGGTCATTAACAGGCATTGCAGGGGTTGCAAAATACATCGGCAATAATTCCAGGCTCCTTAATATTGCCAGAACAGAGTTAAGTGTCCTTAGCACGAGCAAGCTGCCCTTGTAAAAGGTGGTGCAGAAACGGGCTCTAGGCAGTGAGAAACCTCTTCAGCTCCATAGGGTCATTACCTTCAGGGGAGACTCTTGCAGTTAGAAAATTCCTCCTCTGGATAAATCCTTCAGCCTGCCAAAGTGACACTCATTTCTTTCTTAATATCTTAATTCCTTTCTTTCTTAATTCCTTTTCTGTCTGTCCCTCACTGCTTTCTCTCTCAAGCCCTGGAGTAGCACAGCAGACTTCCACTACTTCCAGCCTGCACTTTTCTTGAAGTTTGCTGCTTCTATTTTCCTCCTACAGAAGAATCCGTGGGCTGGAAGAATTGTCTGGTTTCCCCCTTGTGTCATTACTGGGACTAAGAAAAGCAAGTTCCCCTGCTCAAATAAAATATTTAATCTCCCATCTAATAAAAGATACCACCTCTTCCTCCTAAAGCTGCCTGCCTGGTTAAAGCAGTTTTGCAGGTGGTCTGGGATGGGTAATCAGGGTCACTGTGCAACGTAAAATACAGGGAGAGGTGCTTAATGAGGAGTTCAAAGGATGAAGCTCCTCACTTTGCCTGGCAAACATGACGTGAGTTAGTAAGGAATTTCAAATTCTTCTTATCAGTTTGCTTATTAAGCTAACAGGAAAAGTTCAGTTAAACCCAGGAGATTGTTCTGCACTGTTGTAGGGACTTGTGGGATCCATATATCCCTCTCAGTGTATTGACTGCTTTTGAGACATGGTGCCATATCTCAGGACTCATCAGATGCCTCTTGGCCTTACTGTCTTGTGTGCGGCTGGGCAAGGGATGGCTCGCTGGGTTACAGGGCAAGGGACATGAGGAGGAGAAACAGGCTGGACAGGAGGACAAGGCTTCTGGTGGAGCATTTCCATAGTCAGTGTCCGCAGCCCAGTCCCTGAAGGTCTGTGGCCCTGGTTCCATGCAGAGAAGACCAAAATGCTGGAGTCCCTGAGATAAAGAGGGGTCACGGCACTGACCTCATGTGTGTGGGTGTGTGCCAACGGAGAGGAAACCCACCCAGTGCTCCCAGCTTCCAGCACGACTCTTGATGCAACTGCAGCTGTCCCAGCTAAGAGTAGTTGCTCCCTGACTGTCAGTGCCCCATGGAAAAATGGCTGTTTCCCTGATTTCCTTCCTTTGGGGTTTTGGAGAGCATCCTTCTGAAGTTTTTATTTCTCTGTAGAGAGAAATAAATTTTTATCTCTCTGTGAGAGAAATTCCTCTCACCATGGCACTGCAGTGTCTCCCAGTCTTTGGAAAAAACAGAGCTTTCATGAGTGAAAGCAGTAAATCCTGAGAGGGTTTTTAGTTTGCTTTCTCTGTCTCTGTAGTAATCAGAGTCTAGTTGCTATTAGTTCAAAATTGATTTTATTTTAAAATTAGTTTAACTACATTGTAATGTTAATTTAAAAATATTATTTGAAAACAAGCAGAGTACGAATTCACTGATTTTTAGCCAGCCTGATAATGAGGACCTGGACATAAAATAGCAACCTTAGAAATTTAGCTATTATAGAATCATAGAATCATAGAATGGTCTAGGTTGGAAGGGTCATTAAAGCTCATCTTGTTTCAACCCCCCTGCCATGGGCAGGGACACCTTCCGCTAGACCAGGTTGCTCACAGCCCCATCCAACCTGGCCTTGAACACTTATTATTAAAACAATATTTTATTTATTATTACCCAGAGGGTCTGAACAGTCATTCTTTCTTTAATAATTTACAGTTGAAGGACACAATCAAAATTCAACTGATGTCAAGAGGAATATTTTCTTGGCTTCAAAGACCTTTTGATAAAGCAGACTTTAAATACAGACACAGACAGCAAAAGAAATGGTTACAACCAATGGCATAAACCATGTGAGCAAGATGGAATGATTTTTTATGCCTACATCTCACAGACAGTAGATACTGCACATCTGTTTTCTAGTTTAGAGTATTTCCAAGTGTCAGTGACCATTTTCATAATGTAGGAATTCAGAAGTGAATGCCTATTGCTGAAAGTTTTGAGAGGGCTCTAGGATATTAGATTAAGGGAAGATGAAAGAATGATTTATGGCATCAAAAACCTTCCCTGAATGTAAGTCAATCTGTTCTGCTCAAAGCTTGTTCGCTATTTCGATATTAATCTTTCAACATCTGTAAAAGAAAGAAATCATTGGAAAGAGAAAAGAAAAGAAAAGAAAAGAAAAGAAAAGAAAAGAAAAGAAAAGAAAAGAAAAGAAAAGAAAAGAAAAGAAAAGAAAAGAAAAGAAAAGAAAAGAAAAGAAAAGAAAAGAAAAGAAAAGAAAAGAAGAAAGGAAAGAAAAGAAAAGAAAAGAAAAGAAAAGAAAAGAAAAGAAAAGAAAAAAGAAAAGAGAAAAAAGAAAAAAGAAAAAAGGAAAAAAAAGAAAAAAGAGAAAAAAAGAAGAGCAAGGGAGGGGAGGGGAGGAGAGAGAAGAGAAGGGAAGGGAAGGGGAGGAGATGGGAGAGGAGAAGGAGAGGAATAAAAAGATGTAGGAGTGGGGATTTTTTGCTAAAAAACTGTAGATTGAAATAGGTATAATTATGGATTTTAACACTGTGGGTACTTCACTGTGGCAGCCAAGAGATGCAGTAGATAGTCCATCCCTTGGATTCTCTAAATCCAGGTAGGTTGTATTGTTTGAAATGTAATGTAATTCAAGTATAAAGTGTTACTCTCAGAGAAGGAATCCCTTCTACTCTGCAAAAGGTCAGGTAGCCACAGATCACATTCCCTTCTGGTCCCTAAGTCTACAAATTTTGGTATGATTTGTGTTCCTCTTTGTGCAGTCTTGAGCCAAGGTGTACAGAGAGCAGAAAGGACGAGCTCCTCCCTCCTGACCTCTCAGCAGCACTGAGTTAACAGTGCAGTAATATGAAATCTTTGTTTGTTCCAGTATGGACCCGTGTTCACAATATTTGCTCTGGGAAAACGATTTACTTTTGTGACTGAAGAAGAAGGAACTGAAGCATTTTTTAAATCTGAAGACTTAAACTTTGAACAGGCAGTACAACAAGCTGTCAAGAATGCAGGTAACTGAGACCTGGCTCTTTTTTAAAGGAAATAAAATCTAGTTACCCAGGAACATTAAAGCAAGCCAAAAGCCCACTGACTCTTTGATCATACCTTAAATGCTTATTTTAACCCATGACCATACTGTGAATTGAAGGTGAAACTCAATTTCTCCGTGTGGATCCAGCACTGTAAACCTGCAAAGTGATTTGGATTCAGTCACAAGGAAGCAGAGGTTTCTGATCCAAGGACTGTTATTACTTTCATCATCAAGCAACCCAAGTTTGAGATCAGGTCCTTTTCTGTGGCTGGACACTCCTCCTGTGTGTACCGTGTTTGGAGTGAGTGTAGTCCTATCACTTCATTTGAAAATCAGCTTGTAGCAGTAATTAGTTGTTACCCTGTGGTACAACAGGCATTAAAAATGGGCGAGGTATATATCCCATCCAGAGTGGCATGCTCTATCAGCTCATGTGCTTATATCCTCACAGAATAGCACAGACAGCAATTCTTTGAGTAGTTTGGCAATTTTGGACTGTGAAATAAGAGAGAAGCAAATTGTCAGAGAGATTAAATCACAGAATCTCTGTGGCTGGAAGGCACTGTTGGAGATTGCCTGGTCCAAGTCCCTGCTCAGAGCAATGTCAGTGACAGCAGATTGCTCAGGGCTGTGTCTAGTTGGGCTTTGAATATCTCCAGGGCTGGAGACTCCTCAACCTGTTTGGGCAACCTGTTCCTGTGTTTAATCATCCTCACAATAAAAACTTCCCTGTGTCTCAGTGGAGTCTCCTTTGTTGCCATTGTGCCTATTGCCTCCTGCCCTGAGAAGAGCCTGGCTTCATCTTTCTTCTACCACCAGATATTTATCCACAGTGACAAGACCCCCTTGAGCCTTCTCCTCTCCAGGCTGAACAGTCCCAGCTCTCTCAGCCTCTCCTGAGAGGATGTGCCACTGTAGAAAGGTGATACAAACTTTTTTCTTGGGATAATTTATTTTTCATTACAGTCAGTTCTGTGGATGTGCATGCACATCTCTCTATATTCCACTGGGGGGAAGTGTCTGGATTGTTGATTCTGGCACTGAAGCTTCATGAGGCAGGAAGATGTTACACAGACTGGTAAAAGCAGAGGGCTCACCAAAATTTTTACTGTAAGAAGCTTCTTTAGAAAGAAGCTTACAGAGTATTTCACTCTAGGAAAATGAGGGTTAAGGCACTTAAATTACAGTCAAAAGTTAAGTGTAAAAGTTTTCACTCTGTCTTTCAGTGAAAATCTACTTTGTCTACTTTCCAAAATGTTTCTGTTTCTTTTTGTATTTAGTTTCTGTCCCTGCAGAAGCATTTTATCAGAATCACAGTAACCTGTACAGCATGATGAAGGGGAAAATGAGTCCTTCCAATCTGCACATGTTCACGGGCACTTTGTGTAAGGAGCTGCATGAGCACATGGCTCAGCTGGGCATGGAGGGCACAGGCGACCTCAATGACCTGGTAAGGTAAGGGAGTTTTGCAGCACATCTCCAATGCAGGGGTGTCCTACATGGGAGCAGAGGTGTCACTGTAAAGCAGGTGGAGCTCAGGCTCTCAAGTGTTACAAAAGTTTTGTCAGGATGCTCATCACAGATTCTCTGCTTCAGGTGGCTCACAGAGCAGGCAGGGTTTCATCTAAAGGTGGTTTTTCCCAGCTAGGAGAAGCATCTGAATTGCCTGTTTGAAAGAAAAAGAAAACATGGAATCTTCCAACAAACCCTGTTTCCCAGAAGATGGGATAAAAACTTCACACTTTTATAAAGAACTTAAGAACAGACAAAATGCTTGATCTTCAGCAGGTTGAAAACTTTTCATGTTTGGGCCAAGCCTAGGCCAAAACTTAACTAATCCTCTGCAACTGACTTTGCTGCCAGAACTTCATTCTTCATGTAAAAAAAAATCCCTTTACTGACAGTTTCATGTGACAACAACAGAGCTCTTAACTTCTCCTTTTTCCTGGTCATCTGGGACAACATCTATATCTTGTCTGTCCATCAGTACTAGAAGTTGAATATTCATAGAATCATAGAATAGTTTGAGTTGGAACCTCCTGCCATGGGCATGGACACATTCCACTAGACCAGGTTTTTCAAAGCCCCATCCAACCTGGCCTTGAACACTTCCAAGGGATAGGGCAAATATTGTCTGTTTCTAACACCAGGTTGTCTTTTGCTGACTTTTTCTGCATAACACAGCTTTTACTGCAGCTAAAACACTCAGCACCTGTCACTGCAATTGCTGCAATATGGATTAACTGGGGGAAAATATGGGGAAAAGGGGCTTTGAAACCCTCCCATTATCACACTTGTCTCAATAATGGGGTGCAAAAACTTACATCCCATGATGTTTCCCCACCTGTCTTCTGAGATCAAATTCACATCTGCTTCTTGTGAAAAAATGGGCATCATTGGATTGGTGGTGACCCATACCACTGCCTGGTGTGCTAATGTTGGCTCACATTTTCCTGTTATTCCCCTTTTGAATCCATCTGTGGTCTTTTAACCTGGGATCAAGTTTCTGTGGACAGGGACCTGTTGTTCTGTGCTGTACTGGCACCAGTACAGACTGTGGTCCACAAGAGTCAGTGGTGCCATGAGCCTACAAATTACACATGGAGCATTCCATCCTACTGCATCCCTGATGTGTTCTTTCCACTTCCATGGCTGTCCTGGCATTCACATCAGCTGCTATTTGTTTAAAATTTAAAAACCCAAGTTATTTGCTAGATGATAAAATACAGAATCCATAAAAGTCATCCACAGTAAATCTGGGGGTGGGGGTGATCTGTTCTTACAAGGCAGAGTAAAAGAATTGGAATGCAATGCCCAGGATAGCTGTTATTTAGCTGCCTCAAAACTAAATCCACAGAGCCACCAGATGGCCCCAGCTTCCTTATGATCTTTAGAAAAGCAGGACAGTGAGCGCTATTCCCGGTTTAGCAGAGGCTGGAACCTTGCAAAGACCGTACAGGAGAAGGGTCTGAGAAGGGAGCTCAGAGTTTGCAGGATAACGGAGGAACAAGCAGGGAAGGAGTGAGATGAAAACAAAGGAATATTGTCCAGCAAAGCTGCAGACAGAGGAAGGAAGTTTTGGGGTGTGTGGTCCAGAAGGGTTTGTGCAATGCCTGGAAGGTTCACGTAGGCCGACCTGAAATGAGAGGGGTTGTTAATGGGGAGAAGGGACCTTGAGGCCCAGAGCTTTCCTGCCACTGCTCAGGTGACCAAATGATAACTGATGAAGTTCAGCCACATGCAGAGGACCAGCCTGAGGTTTATGTATCTCCAAGTCTCTGCTTAAAATCTTAAAAAAGGGTGTGAGTGTAGTATTGTGCCAGCCCTTCCGTACCAGCATGATGCTTGAGTCCCACAAGTGCTGGCAATTTAACACACTGCATCCTGACCTAAAACTGCTGCCATGGCTTCCTATGGCCCCTAAGTCTTGGGGATCTTGTCCTTGCAGGCATGTCATGTATCCAGCAGTGGTGAACACCTTGTTTGGGAAAGGCATCTGCCCGACAAGTCAGAGCAAAATCAAGGAGTTTGAAGAACATTTTCAGAAGTACGATGAGGACTTTGAATACGCTTCTCAGATGCCTGAGTGCTTCCTGAGGTAACAACCTTGCTTAGGTAGGCAGGGTCCAGCTTGGACCTGCCAGGGAGCAGCAGAACAGGGCAAAGGGCAAAGGCCTGAGCCTAAATGTGAGTCCCAAGCTCAGGGGGTCTCCAATGAGGTGTCCCTCTGATCTCTTCCATAACTTCGTTGTTTTCCCAGCAGACCAATCTTAGATTATGTGGCTGCACTGTTGCAGAGTTGACCTTGGGTAGAGAGACCCAATTTCTGAGGGCGGGAAGTGCTTGTAGAGCCTGTCAGTGCTCCCAGGGCCATGATATTGCCTTTAACACCCCAAAATAGCCTTCAGAAAGAATTGAGGGTACTCTAAAAATGTGGCTTTGATTTTCTTCAGGAGGATCATACTTGAAAAGACTGGCCTAAGCAATCTGTCCAAAGCCACAATGAAAACGTGGTGAAAAGGTAGGAAAATGCAGGAGTCTTGCAGCCACAGGTCCTGGCTCTAGGATGAGGTCTGGCCAAGGTGAAGGTCTTGGACGTGCTGTTCTTCATGTCAGTCATCACATCAATCAGTCAGACTGACACTTGGCTATCCATCAACTGACTGCTGCCCAGGGGCTTTTGGAAAACAAACTAGGAGTCCTTCTCATGGAAAAGGAAATGCTGGTTTGTGCTGCCTCACTTAAGTGCTTCTTGTTTGTTGCTTTTCTTTACAGGAACTGGTCTAAATCCAAAAAATGGCTTCTAAAATTATTTGAGAAAGTAGTGTTGGATGCTGAAAGGACCAACCCTTCAGACACCACATCCAAGGTAAACATCCCAGGCTAGGAAATAAGATGACTTTGTTGTATATTCTCACTGAAGCAATGGAGGACAGGAATTATTTCAGTACTGGAAGAAATAAATCAAATGTGTCAACTTTTATAGCTATGCCTTCATTGTCTAGTATTGCTGTTACCTGCAGTAGGACAGATCCAGATCCACAACTTTGACTTCTACTCCTCCATTTAGTTTATTTCCAACAATTCTGAGGATTAATGTCTTCCTCTGGGGAATTTTAAGCCAAGGGTTCAGAGCTGTGATCCATTGCCAGCCTCCAGTATCACACTGCAGTGAGCAGTTGAAAGAGGTGAGAGAAAGATCCTTCAGTTGTTTCTCTGAGGGCACCACGCTGTGAAATCTCAAAACCTTACATGTACTATTTTTAAACCCTGGTGTAGAGTGAGTAGGTTGTCCAACAGCCAGACTAGTAGAAAATAGCAGATTACTGGATTGGAAGCCAAGTACCCTAAATATTGATTGTGTCAAAGCTGTGATAAGTTGTTCCCCTGGTTATTCTCCTTAGCTCTGGCAGGAATTCTGTTGATATGGCTGACAAACGTGATAGCAGACTGGCCTGGGAATTTTGATCTACCAAATGGTTGTAGAACGGGTCATTAAACAAAACAAGTTTTATTTAGACTTTAAAAGCTTTACATACCACATTTTCTTTCGCAAAATAAAACAGATTAATGGAAAGAAAGAGAAGGGTGGAGAGGGGATGGTGGGACCTAAGAAGATGCACAAAGTAGGAGGCACAAACTTGGTGTCTTAGATTGGATGGGAATCTGGAAAAAAGATCAGTAATTTTTTATTCAAAGTCAGCCTTTTTCCCTCTGAAAAGTAGACAGGAAGCTTTGTCTTGAATGCATGGTTGCCTTATATTTAAGGAAATACTATAAACAAAAGCTGATCCTAGAACATTACACAGTTGCTATAGTTTCAAAGAATATCCACCCGTTGAGGTCACTGCTTAGGTCACCTACAAAGTGCCTGAAACCAGGGAGTTTACTGATATATCAGACCATCTCTTCATAACAAGCATGAACAGAGAGAACATTTTCTTCATTTTCATTCATTCAACTGGTTCATTCCCATTTTCAGGTTCTTTAGAGGAGTAGAGCAGGAGTTAGAATAGAATTCTTCCATGTGTAAGCAACAATAGGGATTGAGGGTGCCCAATTCCTTAAAAACGTTAAGGAAATTGAGATCAGTGCAAGTATTCAGTAGGGATTCACATGGAGCACTGAGTGCTTCTTGCTCTCTGCCTATGTGTGAGTCTCACTTACTCTCAACAGCTGTCATCTCTACTTTGTGGTTGCAAAAAAGCCATGACTAATATTACTTCTCTTTGATAAACTAATCCTTGAATTCTAGTAAGCCCTACCCTAAACACTTTTAATATTTTGGAAATAGCCATTATCTTTTATTTATAACAGACACTACTGCAACATCTTCTGGACAACTTGCAAGGAAAACATTTAGCTCCCAATTATGGTCTCCTCATGCTCTGGGCTGCCCAAGCAAATGCTGTCCCCGTAAGTACATCAGCTACAGAAACATCTTCTTTCTATTCTGTTCAAAAGCCTGTATTTGGGAAGCAAAGACTTTGAAGCAGAGGTCACACACACACTGCATGGATTCCAAAGAAGGGATTATCACGCCCACATGCATCACTACAAATATACCCAGGCTGCAATGTCACAGAAGCAATGACAAGAAAAGCTCTTCTTGTATTTTTCCTAAATTATGTTGTCCCCTATCATAACATTTCAGGAACATAAGCCTCATAGCTATTAAGATCACAGTCTTAAGCTGTGAAGAGCATTTAACTCTGTTTTGAAGCACTGTGGCTGTGTTATAGTAAAGACTCTATTTTAGATATCCTGGTGTTACCAATTGTAAAGAATATCAAAAGCATAATATAGAGTAACTTCATCCATGTGTAAATCCTTGAGTGAATTTGTCTCTTTCATTTTAGGGGATCTGCTGTAAAAATGCCAGAGGAAGAAAAGCAATAGTTTGATTCTACTTCTGTTAAATTTTGTCCATGTTAGAAAAGGATTTGCTGGATTAATGATCCTGATATAAGTATGCTAACAAACCCAATATATCTAACACAGCTTAGGCTGACCAAAGACATTTATAGGAATTTCTCAGATGAAAAATCCATAGCAGCACAACCATCCTTTATTTACCATGACTACTAAGCCCTTTCCAGCACAGTTACGTCCATTACAGATGTGATGTAGAAAAACATGATAGTGAGTTATTTTTATATGTACCCCTAATGGATATATCTATGTTTTTTGTAGATTGGATATCACTGAAATTTAGCCTAAGGGAAATTCATCCATTTCAGTGAAGTTTCTGTGGATTCATGTGTTGGTATAAGTGGGAGGCATAGCCTGCTGCCTGTTATCAGGATAACTGACATTCCTTCCACAACACTTACTCCTGTAATATTCAGCTGTAAATAGACATACAGATATTTCGCTGTTTCTCAGAATAGGCACAACCACTGTTCTGGGGAATGGAATGATGGAAAAAAAGGCCTTTCACCTTCCAAGGGCATTTTTTTACAAGCACTTTAAACCCTTTTATCTGAAACAATTCAGTTATCCCTCCTTAGCCCGTGGAGTGAAGCCACAATGTCCAAGTGCTGTACAAGAAAACTAAGCTACCAGATTTGTTTTGCAGAAGGAGGACCTGCATCCACATCGGGCTATTTGGGAAATAACAGTAAGAGTTCTCATCCCTCACCAGCACAGATGGCCCATGACCAGATCTCCCGCTAGCTCAGCAAGAGGAGAGAGACTCCTGGCACTGCTGCCAGTCCTTCTGGTTTCATCCTACTTAAGAGGATTTTCTCCTTTCCTAAATTTCTTGATTTTCAACTTCATTGCATAATCAGTTAGCAAATTATTTCTAAAGGGGATATACTACTCCCTGTTTTGCTGTTAATTAAAACTTTTCCTGCCCGTTTTAGTGTGACTCACTATGACAATGCCCTGCAAATTATTTAACCTCATTTCTGCTAATATTAGTAGGAATTTTATTTCCATTCATGAAGCTGAAACTAATCACACACAATGATTTCGTAGTTCATTTCAACACCTAGTTATTTGAAAATAAAGTAAGGATTCTGTGCCTCAAAGCTCAAGGCCAAAGCTATATAATGTTCACTAAAGATAAGTACACAGCAGATGACTAGACGTAATCTCCCAGGAGCTGAGCCCTTAGATATGGATTTACCCAGAAAGCACAGCTCCCTGTGCATCCCAACTACAAGAGACACGCACAAAAAAAAAAGAGAAGATTTTTTCACCTGCCTCCATGATTTGCTACAAAGATACTGTCATTCTGTTCTGTATTCCTAAATTCAAGGGTTTCCATCTCTGTTTAGGTTGCATTTTGGACCCTTGCTTTCATACTGTCTCATCCTTCCATTTACAAGAAAGTCATGGAAGACCTGGCTTCTGTTTTTGGCAAAGCAGGTAATAAATCTGATCATATCCTGGAGGTTAGAAATGATTTGTTCTGTGTCAGCCCAGCACACAGCACACTTGGTCAGTGGCTGGGAACAATGAGTGTTGCTGCTAAGAGTGCTACTGATAACGTCGAGTCCAGCTCTCAGTTCTTTACTCAGCATATGCTCAAGAAGTATTTTTAAGCAAGAACACCTTTGATGTTATCAAAAGAAGGTAGGAAAAGAACTGTATATGTTTCCTCATTCCTATCATTTAAACTTAGATTTGTATTAACCAGTGTTGTGATTTTTCCATGTACCTAGGATAGCATCAGATGAGGTTTTTCAGTTCAGCTGCTTTTCGTGGTGTGATGTTCACCAGTTCCAGCTATTCTGTGGAAAAAATCAGGCCAGGAACTGTTCTCTTTTCTGTCATCAGAGGCCAATTTATCCAGCATGATTCACCCCCCATGGCTAATCTCTTTCCCTCAAAAAGCAGTTACCTACTGGGAGCAGTGATTCCCATATGCCATGCCCTGAACCATGCTTGGAGTTTCATGGAAGGCTCTTTGTTGACATGGGTCAAAACCATATCAAGAAACATGTCAATAATTATCCAATAAAGAAAATCACAAAGCAGTGCTTAAGCCTTTCTTCTGGCCCTGTTTCATTTGCTTGTGTTAACACAGCCCAGGAACTCAGCCATGGCTTCTTGTCTTGGTGCCTACAATCCCTGCAACTTCCATGCAGTACCAAAGCACTGAAAAAGTCCAGAGACTCTCTTACCTTTCAAAATGACCTATCTTTGGCTTCTCTTGGCCAACACCATATCTAATACAGCACCTTAGAGTTACTACATTCTCTTCAATGGCTTTTCTTAAAACTTTGAAATATAAAGAAAAATTTTGGATGTAAAATATGTCTTGAAGTATTTTAACAACAGTTCTAAAGCAAGATATGTCAGCCTCTATCAAAACAATTATGAAATCTCATTTTTCACACTGAGTCTTCTTTCTCATGCCACGACAGGTAAAGATAAACTGGAAGTCTCTGAAGAGGACCTGAAGAAGCTCCCTTTTATTAAATGGTGCACTTTGGAAGCCATACGGCTGAGGTCTCCAGGTGCAATCACCAAGAAAGTAATAAACCCAATTAAAATTAAGGTGAGATTTGGTTGTGGGGTTTTTTCCCCAAAGGATGCGGTATGATTTGTCTGGAAAGGGTTCTCTCAACAGATCTGGATAAAATTAAAGTACCAGAGATATTTCCCAATCTCACAAATATATTCTTTTTAATGGAGTTATTCACCATCATTAATTTATGAGTGGCTTTGCTTCTCTTGCTCACAGTTTTACCTTCAATTTTTAGTTGATTTTAGATTGAATTGAATTGAGATGGAGATACTGTGCTGATGGTATGTAAAATAGTAATCAGACACAACAAATGTAGTAGAAAGGACCACAATTTAGTAACTGATAAAACTTATTTTCTGTTTGTCCTCCTCACTGACATTCAGAAGGGAGGTGTCAGCGTTTAGGAATCTGGCAAAGAAATGTTTGGGGAAAACCCATTCTCTTAAGGAAGCAGTGCTCCTGACACTTAAGAAATTACTAATGTCTGCTGTCATATAAGACCTTCTATTAATTTCTTTACATTGAATGAAATGTTCAATAAAAGACTTAGAAAAAAAACGAACAGCACACATGCTACATCAAGAATCAGAAAAGAAGAAATAATGCTTCTTGTCTTTTGATACCTGAAAAAAACAAATTAGAACACAAACAGTCTTTTCATGGTCTCCACTGTTTAGGTTTTATGGAAGAAAACAGCAACAGCAAGAAGAAAATTCAAACATGTAATGTGGCCATCAAGGATTTATCACCTCCACTTGTTCTCTCTTAGGACTTTCTGTGATGGAAGAGAAGTACCAAGGAGGGACTGTCTGGGGAGTTGACTTGTGATTTTCTCCTTTCTTAGAGTTTTTCCTTCTTTCCAGAATTTCACCATCCCTGCAGGTGACATGCTGATGTTGTCGCCCTATTGGTTGCACCGGAATCCAAAATATTTTCCAGACCCAGAAACGTTCAAACCTGTAAGTTGTCACTTCTTGTGTGTGTATATTTTGCTGTCTTTTCTCCTCTTCACTTATTTCACAACAAAAGCACACAGACAAATTTGCCCAAAGTTGAGTATTCCCCACTGACTGGAGGATGGCTTTGTACACAGAAAAGATGGGCCCACAAAGGAGGAGCCTGTAAGAATAAGCAAGACTGTAAATTCAATTACATGTTCCAGGTAATATGGTACTCCTTTATATCACTGTGATCTTGACCTCATCACTCTCTGTGACTCCCCGACAGGAGGTTGTAACCAGGTGGGGATTGGTCTCTTCTCCCAAGTAACAGCTCATAGGATAAGAGGAGATGACCTCAAGGCATGCCAGGGCAGGTTTACATTGGATATTAGGAAAAATTTCTTCACTGAAAGGGTTGTCAGGCACTGGAACAAGCTGCTCAGGGAAGTAACGGAGTCACCATCCCTGGAGGGATTAAAAGATGTGTAGATGTGGCATTTGGGGACATGGTTTAGTGTGGCCTTGGCAGTGCCAGGTTAATGGCTGGACCCAATGATATTAAAGGTCTTTTCCAATCAAACTAATTCTATGATTCTATGATTCCAAGTACTCTCCTCTCCCTGTCAGATGATTTCTGGTAGGTATTAGCTCTGCTAATTTAGTAGTTAATCTAGTTTCTTGATTATTATTCCACTGCAGGTGGCTGTGTGGGCAGGCTTGTAACGGCTCTTTTTAGCACCATCTGATATAGAACAGTTTGTCTTTTTTATAGAAATACATCAAGGAATAATTTAAACAAAACTTCCTTTCTAGCAAACTCTTCCCAGTTTGGAATCTCTCATAACAATTCCTGACTGTTTGAAATCTGAAGCTGAAACCCTGATGCAGCAGCTTATTTCTTTAGTAACTTTATTCCTAAAAAGCAAACTAGCTTATTTTTTAGAAACTCACACTTTTTTTCCCTGAGGAATAGATGAGTGCTCCTCGGCATTCGAATGACATTGTCATTCCAAATGTGTCACCTCCTTCCTTGTTCCTTAGATTTTTTTCTTTCTTTTATTGAATTTTGATGCTAACAGGTTTCCTCTTCAGAAAGATATAAACAGCCCTAGCTGAAAAAAACCCCAAAACTAAACCAAAGAAAGATATCTTCTCTGGGACAGCTTCATCAGAGTAGTTCACCACCAGAACCTTGACAGGGTGTTACTTGGCAGAGTTGTGTTGAGTTTGTGGAGGCTGGTTTGTCACTCAGCAATCAAAAGATTTGCTTCTCTCAGTGTCACCCACCAAAACTTCAGCCTTGTCCCTTGTTGTTCCTTTTCTCTCAAAGCAACTCAGGATGGACAAGGATCCCTGTAGGTACAGACAGAGCTGTTTTTGTTCCAAATAGTTCATTTTCTCACACACACTGGCTTACACCAGATACAGCTCATGGACCTTGCATTTGTCTGTACGCAGCATCTTAGAAACGTTTTTTGTGCAAGATATGCATGAGCCACTTGTGTGTCATGACACAATTTTGTGGCTGAGGCTTTCTCCAGTACTGGTTGAACATTTCCTTGGCATTTGTGTATATTTAAAAGGACAAGGTTGCATTTTTTTATAGGCAAATGGGGAGGTATAGGAAGAATGCTTTAGGGATAATTTTGAAAACCTCACCAGCATTTTGAGGCACCTAAATATGTTTCAGATGGGACCCTCATTTCTTTCCCTGAGTCAGTGCTGACTTTTGAATCCAGACTTTAACATTAACAGGTTGAATGTAAAAAAATGGCATTAGTGCAACTTTGTATTGAGGATTAGCTGTCCAAGGTCATTTTTAGCTTGGAGAAATAAAGTTAAGCTTTATTTATATAAGGCTGATTTGGAAAAAAAGTTTCTTCCCACAGGATCGTTGGAAAGAGGCAAATTTAGAGAAGAATGCTTTCTTGGACAGCTTTGTGGCATTTGGAGGAGGGAAGCATCAGTGTCCAGGAAGGTCAGTGAAACAGCTGGGGTTTATTTATTCCCAAATCCTGCAGAGAACAACTCTTGAACTGGGCTCCTCTTACACTTGGAGATAAAGTGTTTGCTTTGCTCTTTGTCAGTCTCCTAATATTTGGCATCATCTGGACCTTGTTTAAACTGATTTGAAAGTGGTTTCATTCCTGGAAAAGACAGGTTAAGTCACACTGCAAAAGCAGAATCTGAGACTAGTGTATCAAGGGCTATTTCCCCTCCACCCCCTGGAAGGAAAGTCAGCCCAGCTCTGCCTCTGCTGAGGTGTCTGTTCATCAAGGGGGAGTTGTCCCACTTTCAAACTTGCCAGTTTACAGACAGAGGTATTTAAGCTGCCATAAACCAGTTCTAAACAAACCTAAAGAACATTTCTCTGGTCTGAGATTCTCATTCCATCCTCTACAATGCCATTGACATCTTTGCTGATCTTGAAATATTTTAACTGGCCCCTCTGTGTTTGAATCTTGTCTTTGCATTAAGGCCCACACAATTGTATAATGGCTTAAATTGCAGATCCTGTCTCACTTCACTCCTCCAGCAATGCCAGCCTTGGTGCTTCCTGCATTCCTTCTGCTGTTTTCTCTGCTGTCCCTTTTTCTGGAACAAGTCCCAGGGAGCCAGCTGCTCCTTGTTTCTGTGTTCAAACATCTCTATGCTCAATCCTCTGCCTTCAAAACCTGGTCTCCTCTAAGAAGCAAGTAATCAAGAATCCTTAAAAGTAGTCATTTTATCTTGAGTCCCATGTGGAGCAAGGAATCTGGAGAGAGTTGCAGAGGATCTGCATTCTGGAGTCTGCTCCCTGTAGCAGGCTGGACATGAGTGTCAGATAAACTTTGTGAAGGCATTAAAATGAGCAAAATTAATAAAACTGCATTCACTATTTAGGCTTACCAGAGGAAGGTGCTCACTCACTGCTGTACCTCCGTGGCTTGTACCATATTCCTGAGCTAAATATGAGCACAGCCTCATTCCAGCAAGGGTGACAGCAAAATTCACAAGAGGCATCTGCAGGTACAGAGAAAGCTGCAAAACAATGTTTCTGAAAGCTGCTTGTTTGTATATCCTGACCTATTTGTTCAGGCTGTTCTCTGGACTCTGATAACATCTTTAAAATAAGTTTGTGGTTAGGAAGAAAATCATAACATTTCTACATAGACAACAGATGGAGAATATTTTTTCTTGCTGACAGACAAAAAAACTCTTTAAAACCATTTGGCAGTTCACATGGTAACATACAACTTCAAGTTTTTCAGCAATAATTGTAAAAGAATAATGTGGTGGTCTTGAAAAAAAGAAAATTAAATCAACTGTTGTATCTAGATTCCAGGCTGCAGATTTCCTTGATGTGACTGAATGAAAGAATGATATTTGAAGTTTAGGATGCATTTTCCTTTAATCCACTATTGAGATTTTTAAATTAAATGCATGAAACATTTAATTGCTCCATTGCAAAAGTTCAACATGAAATGAAAAGTTAATGAAACTGAAAGCTAGTAAATAACTTACTTGTCAAATATTCTAGCAAACTGACATGGGAAGGGCTCTCACAAAGCCATTTCTGTGCCATCTTTTTTACCTAAAAGAAAAACGTGATGTCAGTTTGACTACTTTGGTCTAACCAGGTGATTATTGCCTGTGTGACTGTGCTTATCTTGCATGGCTCTGTCTGTTGTCTCTTGTCTTGTGCTGACATTGTAAAACCAGTGCAACAGCTGTGATTTTCTTCTCGGGCTCCATTTACTGCAGCATCTTAATCCACAGCTGGGATCCTGGGTTCCAGCACCACTCAAATATGTAGCAGTGCACTGGGGGCAAGATTTCAGAAAGCACATCTTGGTCCAGCCCCTTTGTCACTAAATTAAATGGGAAGGCATCAGTGACTCAGGGTTTTTACAGGAAAACTGCTCTAGGACTCAGTCGTGAACATGAAAGACAGGTGGGAACTAAGGGGCTTTAGCATTTTCCTGCGGGAAAGCTCATGAATTCTGCTCAGTACAACAAGCCACGGAAGAGGACATGCTGGAATGCTGCAGTCTGGCATTTCACTCCTGGATTGTCCTTCTGACCACCCTCAGACACATGTGTTGCTTATTATCCTTGTATCTTAGCATCTCTGTGTGCAGAGCAGAGTAACCACAGCAGCCTGTTGGGAAAAACACTTTGGGATCTGGTGGTGGGAAGTGCTGTGGTCAGTTGCTGGTTATATCCATGGAACAGGCTGCAGAGGGTACAGAGGTGTCAGGACTGCACAGTCCACCTCCAGCTGTGCTGGTGTTTGAAGGACTCTGTCCACTCAGCCTTTCCACTTTCTGGGAAATCCAGATGCTTTTGGGTGCATCATGGTTCACCCCTGCAAGACCAGCAAGGGTGCTCAGAGGCAGGACCTCAAGCACCAGGGGTCCAGGGCTCCACTGTGCAAACAGGACTGTGACTGGAAGGATCCCACCGTTGTACAGTGCTGCAGGCATGGAGTTTGGGCTAGTACATCCCACCTGATCTGGGCTAATATCCACTGAAAGATCCCTGCACTGCTTTCCCCAGAGCTCAAGGTCACCAAAAGCTCCCTGTCGTAAGGTAGTTCCAGAGATAATTTGGGTCTGAAGCTGTGCTAAAACAAACAAGCATCCTCCCACTCCAGAGCCCAGGGCAGCTTCATGTGCAGATCCTGATGGTTCTGCAGGAGTTAGCCTGGGTCTCCTGGGGCTTCTTAGCTTCTTCACACCTCCCAGGGCAACTCCAGGCTGACGCCATGCGCAGTCACATGGCCTCCTCCCCTGTGAATTCCCCAATAGATGTTTCATCCAGGTTTTCCAGCATCTCTCAGATAACAGAAAATAAACTGTAGAAGAGGAAGGTAGTATTACTATTTTAACTGGGTATTTAAGACTTATGTCTAAATTCTGCAAGTGAGTAATCCCATGACCGGGCATAGGTGTATGCTGCTTAATGCAGAAAGCTTTTGTATGTATCAACCTTAAAAAGCAGTAGCCTGGAGGAGTTCACCTGCAGTTATCCAAAATCTTCTCCGGCCTGACTAAGAAGGACCCTTCTGAGAGTGTTACAGAAAAAAAGAAATCATGCCCTTGGGTCTCCTACTGCATCCTAATGCTGATGCATTAAATAATAACTCCCACTGTCACTGCTCCCTGATGTCATCAGGCTCCCAGCTGTATTATATAACTTTATATAGCACGATTAGTCATATGGCCTTTTCTGTGTTTGACTGCCTTCTCACTCCTAGGAAGTTATTTCAAGTCAGCAAGCGTTAGGAGAACATAAATGTTTATACAGTGGAAAAATCCATAATGATAAGGGTCTGGTTTAAAATAGGGTGTCAGAAGGATACTGTTGGTCTAATGGTTCACCAGAAAGAAGGGGCAGTCACTACATTCATGTTCTTTGCTGAGGAACAAAGCTGAACAAAGCTACAGCAGATTTCCCTATGGAAGATAAACTTTCAAGCAGAACTAAAGCATGGAGCGTAAAATGTGTCAGACACCCTGTTTGTTACCTGATGATAACACGTGTTATATTCAGGCTGGATGGCAAATGTTTTCCTCCCTTTTCTTGCAGGTGGTTTGCGATCATGGAAATCCAGTTGTTTGTTATTCTGTTCCTGTACAAGTATGAATTTGTGGCATTGGATGCAGTACCAAAGGAGGTAAGAGTTCCATGCAATCATATAACATTCCCCATCTTTATGTCCTCCAGTCATCAGGCTCAGCTGAACAGCCATGGTCAACTGTGGTTATGTATAATGAAATGAAATTTTGAGAGGAGTGTTATAAAACATGTAACGCATAGCTCAGTCTTTGTTTGAACTTAGAAAACCCAGAATAACTTCAGCAATTCCAGTTAGTGGAGCTGCACTGACCGTACAAGAGTATTTTGTCTCATTGTTGCCTAAACATCACCAGAGATTTGATAATTGTTTTCTGCCCCTCACAAAAACAGTGAATATGAAACTGGATCATTAATACTCTAAAAATATGAAATCAGATGCAGCACTCATAGTGCTCTTCCACTCCATTTTCAGTGGTGGAAGGTAAATCATTAGGGTAAGACTGAAGGAGTAACTGTGACATAGAGAAGTTTTACCATTAAGGGAGAATGGCACAGTCTCCACTTTATTATTTTAATATTTTGAAAATATTCAAAACTGTGAGAATTTCTTAAGAGCTCATGTGTCATCCTGGCAGAGTGACTGGAATAAAAACTAATCATGAAGGCCTTCCTCAATGGCTTTGGCAAAGCCAAGAAATACTCTTGGTATTTGGTTTTGGTTCTCTAAGACCAAAGCTCCAAGAATACGTTCATATCTTAATACTAAAGCAAGATAATAAATCCAATAACTGAACTAACTTAAATGTTCCTACTGATTTTCTTCTCTCTGCAGAGCCCTTTACACTTGGTGGGGACACAGCAACCCATGGCACCATTCCGGGTCCAGTATAAATGCCGGGAATAAAAGCTGCCCAGCACTAACCTTCCTTTGCCACCGCCCCCCCCGATGGATGAACCACTGAGCTGCTTCCCTATCCTACACCTTCAGATAAGTTTTCTACCTGAAGAGTTCTTAATTTCAACTTTCAATGCTGCACATACTCAATATTCACATATTCAATGCTGAACCGTGCTCTGCCATACCAGAATAGTCATACCTGTGCTCTGCACCTGGTTGCCCAGGTCCTAGTGCTTAAAATCCAAGCTCTCCTGCTGCATTCATACTTTGGAGGGCAGTTATTCACCAAACATTCAGGACAAAAAGCTGCAGTGTTTGGAAATTCTGCGTGGAAGCTCAGCTAGAACCAGCTAGAATGTGCAGGTTGCTTCAAACCAAGACCAAAGTGGTGCCTCATGTTAAGAAATCAGATTGGTAACACTGTACATCTCCCTGGTGTTGGTGTGCACAATATCCAGGACAGTCTGAGCAGAGACCACCGGATCATATCCACAGCCTGGAAAAGTATCATGACTTCTGTGCCACTGCCTCTGTGGGTAGATGAAGATCTGACCTGCTCTGCCTGCAACAGGTGCCAACTTTTTGCAAATAAAATGCATTTGTAATGGAAAAATTGCAAGCACTTGGGGTCTTATTCCATCAGAGCCCCTAAAATTTCTACTGAGCATTACTTGTTCCACAGGATTCAGGATCGGTCCTTGCATGAATACACAATGAAAGTTTGACTGGGATGTTCAGCTCCCAATAAAAAGTGATTGCAAGAAAAGACTGGTTGTCTAATATCTAGAACACTTTTGCTTTCCCTTTCACATGACTTATAGAACAAATTGCACAAATCTAAGAATATTCAATCCTATAAAGAATACCTAGTAAAAGTTGTTTGATGGAGCTGTCAAGTAAGCTCAGATAACACTTTCACTGCTGTCAGATTTCATATACAATAATAGCTGGCATGTATTTTTAGTCTTTTAAGTAAAGATTATTCATCATTTTAAAAGTATTTGCAAAAAAAAAAATCCCACACAAATAGACTTTCAACAACAGTAAAACTATGGGAATAACAAGCATAGGAAAATAACACATTGTATAATTCATTACGTGGTTGGCTTACCTTCGTTATGGATAGAACAACTTCAATGATTTATATGGTTGGAAAATGATTCATCCAGCTTCTAATTTAGCTCATTGTAGTGAACTCTGCAAGAGTTGCACTCTTAACTGCTGTTTCAGTGTCTCTTCCAAAACTGAAATCTATTCCCTTGGTTTTCATGCATGGTATTACTTAGAAGTGTATATTTTAATTGTAAAATTTGGCAATCACTGCAATATCCATAAGGCCAGGTGGGACAGGGCTTTGAGCAACCTGGTTTAGTGGAAGGTGTTCCTGCTCATGGCACGGGGTTGAAATCAGATAATCTTTTTAAGGTCATTTCCAACCCAAACCATTCTGTGATTCTATGGTTTTATGTATTTTCCAGTTTTGCAAAGTTATTTTTTTTTCAAAAATGTGCATTGCTTTTTATTTTTCTGTTTAATTGATTTTGGGGTTTGGAGGTTGGTGGGGTTTTTTGTGGTTTGTTTTGTTTGGGGTTTTTTTGGGTTTTTATTTTTGGTGCATGGGTTTTTTTGTTTGTGTTTTTTGTTTGTGTTGTTTTGTTTGGTTTTGTCTGTGTGATGTGGGATTTTTTTTTTCCCCACGAGAGGTAAATCAAGAAAGCAAAATTCTATAATGGCAAACTTGACTTTAAAGGTAAAAGGTCCCCAAAAGAAGGTCAACATCGAATTGGTTAGAAGGTTTCCCTGTCTATGGCAAGGGTTTGGAATGAGATGATCTTTGAGGTCCCTTCCACCCCAAACCATTCTGTGATTCTGTGATGATTTTTCTATATATTTTGCACTCCTTTTGCACAGACCTTTACCTCGATGTGCCAGAGCAGGGAGCAGGATGAGGCCATTGGTGCTGCTTCTGTGAGTGCTGAGTGTTTCTGTCTGAGTTGGCCAGTGGGGCCATCATTGCATACACACGTTTTACACGTGTGTTTGTGTATGTGCCTGCTGGGAATCCATGTGCAGCCTCACTACAGGCTGGGCCCAGAGCTGCAGCAGCCTCACTTCTGTGAGGATACAGGATTTAGCAACTCCCTAAGCAGTGGAGAATCAGACATGAAAATATCTGTCCTGAAAGGCATGACTTATTTTTATTAGAAATGTAGGCATTTGGCAGGAAAGAAATACCTGTTTGTGGCAGAGAAATACCAAACAAGCAGGTAAAGAAAAGCGGGCTTGGCTCTGGGATCCCATCAGTGCCTGTGGTGGATGACAGCTCCAGGCACTCGCTGTACTTTCCTAGGTGGAAAAAACAAGGGAGATGGATTAGTAAAGCAATGTAGTGGTCAAGTGATAGAGCTAAATGAGGTCTTCTGCCTGGAAATAATTCAGAAGCTTCTGGGGGAGGGAGAGACTTTCCCATGGGACAGGGTTAAATGAGAATTAAAAGGTCATCACGATACCCTATGCAGGAGTGGATTAACAGTATCTAAATTATTCTTCTTCAAGTGTTCATCCAATCTGCTTTTAAATACAGCAGTGCCGAAACTCCATAGGGGATCTGTCCTCTTACCCTCTCTACTGTTAGAAAGCTGTTCTACGTATCAGTAGCAGGAGTCAGAAACAGGTTTTATCCATGCCAGTACCAAAAGTGTATGAAGCAGCAGATTTTTAAGCCCGCAGAGGAAAAAAAAATACTGTATTTTGACTTATCTTTGTATTTCTACCTTCTGTATGAAGTATGGATGTTAAAGGGAATGCAGTGGGACATCCGTCAAAAAACATCTTAGAAAATGCAATTGTTTCTCCTCCAGATATGCCATAGGCCAGATCTACCTGACAAATAATCCCAACATCTAAGCCAGTGAAAAAAATGGTAGGACTTGTCTTAAAGAGAGAGGAAATCTAGAATTATGGGAAATGAGCAATAAAACTCTGCTAATTCAAATTTTCTTTAACAATTTTTGAATTTTATTGTATATTAATGAAGAGTTTCAGGGGAAAAAAAAAAAAAAAAAACAAGGAAAAACAAGGGAAACTATCACATTGCAGCCGAACCTTTTTTGACACTTTTGAAGAAAGTATAAATATTTGCCCTGAAATCATAAATTTCCCTTGGAAATATAAAACTCATGAAAACATTTTGAGTTAAAATTGTTCACCTACTGCAAGTGAATTTTCTCCAGCCAGTGCAGTGAAAAGATGACGTGCCATATCAGCAACCACCTCCCAGAATAATCACAATTTCTTTCATGTCTTCCCTCTAATGAGCCTCCCCGAAGGCCCCTCTCATCTGTACTGAGCAGTCAAGTATTTCAAGTGGTCTCCTCTTTTCTTTGCCACTGATTGCCACAGAACCCAGAAGTTCAGGCTTAGCACGTATACCTCCTCGAAATAGATGTCTGGGGACTAAAAGATAGGGCTGTGGCCATTGAGAGGTGAGCTAAAAATAATTACTTCCTGCCCAAAAGAAATTAATTCTAAGGCCCTCACTCTGTGCTGGGCTTGAGCACCATGCCAAGCAAAACTTGACTTAAGCATGTGTTTTGCTTTAAACAAACACTTAAAATGGATTTGCAGAATAAGAATGGATTTCAATTTAAGCACAGGCTTAAGTGCTTTGCTGAGCCAGGGTTCAAATGCCTCAGTCCCTAACCTGTTGTTTACAGTTAGTCTTGGCATCTGTGCTGTAATTTTAAAGCCATATGGGGGTTAGTGGAAACACTGAGGTGGCTTTGCTTATTTTAGGTGAAACTGGCAAACATTAAAGGATTTTAGGAAGCATTTAGAGCATAAACCAGTGGGCTTTGTTGGCAGCAAGCATCTTTCCCAGTTATTTGGTATATTCTAAACGTGCGGCTCATCATATGGCAGAAAAATATTTCCTCTCAGCCAGTATGTGGTGGAAGGGGAATTAGACACAAGAAAGGCATTTGAAAGATAGCAAGCACTTAATTGCAACAACCAAGGCGAGTCTTTCATCATGTGGCCATTCTGAATGACATTGGACATGCAGCTGATTGTCACGGTGTTATTTGTTTTCTTTACTTTGATCATAAAATTACCAGGAAAGGCTTAATGGAGTTATAAATATCTTGTTTCCATGAGAGTCCTGGGAGGATAATTATAGCACTGAAGTCTTTACAAAGATAGAGCATTTGTAAAATTATTATCTGAGGGCTCCAATGCATAAGGCAGGGAATTCTGCCCTCTATTCCCAACTCTCCTGTTGACTCACTGGGCTCTTTGGGTGAGTCACTTCATCCCTCAGTTTCCTCACCTATACATTGGGGTAATAATGACAATTACCCACTGCTGCAAAGCCTCTATATGTAAGTATTGCTCCCACTCATCAGAGCACTCAAGCCTGGTTATGGGTAGCAATGGGTGTCTGGAAGGGTTGGATAAGATATGTGCTTTCCTGAGATGTGCTCCTTGTAAATTACATTACTTGTGGAGTTACAGTCAAAGTATTCAGGGGAAATATTTTAAATCTCCTAATTCATACATTTTAAGAGGATGATGAACAAGCTGTACCCCCCAGTCTTTAGAAATACTTTGTTTTTAATGCAAAGCTTGGAATTTAAAGACTATGGGAAGGTTTGTTGTTGAGTAAAAATACAATGTCCTTTCATAAAACCAACCCCTGCAGAGGAGCATAACCTAGAATGTTGAGTAGCAACCACCTATGAGTAGGAACTACACCCATACTCTGACTGACTTCCCTAAGCTGCACCAGGCTTTTACTGCTTTAGAAACTTCATACATCATCTTTCCAAGAGTGCAGCTTTGAAAAAGACAAGTGAGGAAGGAGTGATGGCAAATGAGCAAACAATTGGGCCCAAGGCCCAGTGGGATACTATGCCTGAAGGGGAAAACATGGATTTTGGATATGAAAACAAAAACTTCAGTGCTGGAGAGGAGATACTACATCCCACTGTAACTGCCCTGGCTGTGATTCCAAATGGCTGCTGATAAATTTGAGAGAGATCAGAGCTGAATCAGAAAGTTGATGGAAATGTTGCTAAGCCTGCCCAGCTTTGGAGTCCATCTGGTGAGCTTAAGAAAGGGAATGCTCAGAAGTGACTTAAGCACAGCCTGAGGATACCCAAGTTCAATAATGGATGGGCCTTTGGAGCTTGCTGTGCCTTTTTGCAGTGAACTGAAAATGAGCAGATTCCCATCTGAAATGAGGTAAAAATGCAGATCAGGAAATTGAATTGTTTTACCAAACACTGAAATGACATT